GTTGACAATTTCGAAGGATGAACGACTGTCTTTTGACGTGAATCGACCCCGTTTCTCTGACGCGCCCCGGACTTGGCTTTCGCTCAAGATCGTAGTGGTATTTTTGATGCGTATGTGGCCTATACACTGCCTTGCGGCAATCAGCCGATGCACAGTTCAATCCCTTTATCCTCAAAGGTCAGTCTCATCCCGAGTAATCGACCAAAGAGGGACGGAACTTTAGGTTGGCCTATGCGGGTATTGGTTTGGTGCTCAATTTCTTATCGGTAGGTGCGGTAATTTACCACCACATTGATCGTTAGAAGTGAAATATAGGTGCTACCAGAGGTAGGCGACAGAGTGAGGCATAAAACACCTGGGCTTCGACTTTAGACAAATTTCTTGTTAACTTTAGGGCATTAACCTGCATTTTACTCCAGTGCTTCACATTAAAGGCTGATATGGACTTGAGTGGTATTGATTTGTTTCTTCTACAGCTATATTGGTTGAATCACTGGGGTTGTGGTAGGATCGATATCAATGAGAATTTCAAGTATAAGAATCCTACACTCTTGATTGTGGAAAATAGTTTGAAAAATCTTTTCCTTACCTTTTTCCATACACTGAATATGGCGAGATTTTTTAGACACTGGACATGGTGACTTCACTTTGCTCGTCTCTTGGACTATGTGTGATGAGGCTGGATGGCAAGACTCCGGTCGCAGATAGGCAAACCCTGATCACAAAGTTCAATTCCGAAAAGAATTCCGATAACGTCTTTTTGCTCAGCACAAAAGCCGGTATGAAATTACGATTCTTTAGATGTAAATTCTTGACTTGACAAATAATTTCCTTTCAGGTGGCATTGGTCTTAATCTCATTGGGGCATCTCGGTTGATTCTGTTCGATTCGGATTGGAATCCGGCCTCTGATCTTCAGGCGATGGCTAGAATTTGGAGAGATGGACAGACGAAGCCGTGTCACATTTACAGGCTGATTACTGCGGTATGACTGTGGCTTTACGTTACCTTTCATTATCTTTGACCTACATCCCTATCGCAGCAACTAATGCTTTTATCAATGTGGTTGCTCCATGATAGGACACATCAAGTCTCCTCACTGGTAATGACCCAAGAATGACGAATATTCGAACACTTGTCTGAATTGAAGGCACAGTTTACGATAATTTTGAGGTACCCGTTTTTATTCGAAAAGCGGAAGTATGGAGTGGGAATAGTTCATCGACTGTAAGAAAGCGAGAGGATTCGTCGATCTTGATAAAAATATGACTCCTCAAAAGTAAGAGTTATTCGGACGAGATTTCAGTTATTGCAATTGCGCAAAAAGCTCACTGCATCAAAACAAAACTGTGCGGAACTGCCTTTCTCTGTCGCTGTTGGTCATGACAAGTTGTTTGAACTTCCTACATGGGTTCCTTGTGATCGCTGCAACCTCTACAATGCCGGTGAAACTCGTCCAAGAATACACACGGGCCAATCTTTGAGCCTTTATAACTCCCTGACTAGGCTGTTTTCCAACCTAATAGTGCCAGATATGGCATACACGGGGGCCCCAAATTCATCCTGTTGAGGAATCTTAGGAACCATTTTCATCGTGAACTGTGCCTTCAAGTTGTTTGGCTCACACTACGCTTGGCTATTTCGCTGAGATAGTACATACAAGCGAAGATGGATACTTCAGTTTAGGGCATGGGGTTTAAAACGGCTGCAACTTATGCGCATGCCGTATCCAACTTAATTTATTCGTCTATTTTCTGTTCGGCCTCGTTTCGGAAACGTGCGTCAATTTCACGCAAGCACTAAATATTGATGAGGAGTGTCATTGTCGTGCCGCCATTTTGTCAACCATTAATATGGTAATGTAAGACACATAGAAAGGCAAGCGCTGAACTTTGCCCGTGAGACTGAGCGTTTTGCTTATGAATCAGTATCCCTGCCATGGAAAAGCAGATACAGTATGTCTTAAAAGTATAGGTTCACCTTGTTTCTCTCGAATATCTCTATTGTGGGAAAACGATTTTTTTCAAACTGTGATAAACAGTGTGTCTTGCACCGTTCAAATATATGGGTGATACTCGAAAAAAAAAAGAAGTTTGACCGTTTTTCCTAGAGCTTTCTGAAATCGCGATGTCTCAAGAAGGAAAGAAGGGTTTGTGAATTCGGTCAAGAACATCTGGAATAATAGGGACGCGAAAGTGCACAACGTGGCCCTAATTGAGTTTGCGAAATATATGTCGTCGGTGGTCCTATTGCGCAAAAACACTTTCTTTTGTTTTAACCTTATCTTTACTCTGTACATGCAATCCCTTGAAATTTATGTTGCTGGTATTCCAAAATCATGCTGTATTTCAGGGCACAGTCGAAGAAAAAATTCTTCATCGTCAGATAAAAAAAACTGGCTTGAATTCCTTGATCAATTTCTCTGATGAACCTTGTGAGTGTTCAGAACTCTTTCCTTATCGAGTACAGCGGGCTGTCTTTGCCGAGGCTGCTAAAAGTTCTACCCATTTATACTTTTTTCTGGCACTTTACATATTATTTTGGGTGTTCGTCTCGAAACGGTACGACGCTTCAAATCGGAATTCATCAGCAAAATAAAAACGTATTCGCCGCGCAAAATTCCCGACTTCTGAGCTCCCCGAATTCCCAGATGCCGTTTTGGGTAGTTTGTTAGTTCCGGAGGCTTGCCTTTGATACAACTAACCAGATGTTTGAAAAGCGACAGTGGTCTCAAGAAGAATCTAGCAAACACTCTGTGGTAGAGCTTCATAGACGTTTCGCCTAGATGTAGTTCAGTTCCAGTAGCGTTTCCTTATAATTGTATGACTGAACACTGTCATATGGGTAAGCCCAGTCACCACTGTCTTTTTGAGAGATTTTTCGGCTCAGGATATATTTTGGAGTTCGTATTTGTCTTTCGCTTGAGCAGGACGTCTCTTGGTGTCGGAGAGGATCCATTTCAAAACGCATGTGAAAATGCGATGAAGAAGCTGGTCACTTTTTTTGTGTAATAGAAGTGTTAGATAGGTTCCGAAGTGGCGACTTCTCTAGATGTTCCTTCAGTTTGTGCCATACTCATTCGTGCAATTTTTTCACTTCAATTTTCTCCTGATCCTGGAATCCTGTCGAATAGTCAATGACTAGTCCCTAGGGAGGTTCTCGTATTATTCCAAACAAATCATCTTCAATTGTCACATTCAACAGGTGGCTGCCCTCTTTAAAGGGGTGGCCGCAACTCCCTTGTTTCGAAGTTTATATCGCCGCACCTCATATCATTGGAACCGATGCCGCTAAAATCAGTATTGTTTCCCTTCCATTGAAGAACCTCGCTATCGCGAGTTGCCATCGCTGCAGACCAGATTGGACTCATAAAAGAAGATTTATCGAAAATTTAGCCTCAACAAATAATTCGCTGAGTAGTGGTACTTGGAGAATGACAACTCTCCTTCAGAACCATTTGCGTTCTAGAAATCAGGAAAAAAACTGAGTTATATGGCTTCTAATATAGAGAGATTATTCCAGCTAAAAAAGTTCATAGTGGAAATACATGTAACAACCAAATGCTCGCATTATGCTTGATCGATGTAGTATTAACGTCTTGTAACGGTTTCTTTGAGGTGAAATTGTTTTACTCTTCCAGACAACACAACTTTTTTGGATGATGAACTTAAGGACATATTCACACTAAGCGAAGTTGAGTGCGAAACACATGAAATGGCAGGGTGTTCTTGTGATGGGTGTGGATTGCTCCCAGACGAAGTTGATGATGAACCAGGTAACAATCACGTGGTTTGTTAATTAAATAACCGCTGAATCACATTGATTTCTCTGTGCATGCGTTCAGTGCCTAGCGTTTAGCAGTGAAAATACTCATAGTTTTGACTTTATGTTTTGTTAACTGCTGTTTTGTTAACCGCAGTATGCGTTCCAAAAGTCTCATAAGGTTGGCGACTTATGGAGAAGAGCTTCAGTCTCGGACGGGACTCGAACCCGTACTTGTGCTTCCCGTGCACCGTGCTATATCCCGTGCAAGTCAGGAATTCATAGTCCTCAATAAAATGATGTCTAGAGATGAAGTTCTCAGCTGAAAAGCTTGTGGCCCAGCAAGCTGATCACTTCAGGAATACAATCTCGTTGAACCGTTAGCGAGTTGCTCCTCTCTTCGATGAAAAGGCCTGCTATGAACCGAAATAGTCTGAGAATTTTTATTGAACACATAAACGAACATCTCTTTTGAATGAATAGAAGCAGTAATTTGCTGAACCCATCACGAACCGCAGCACTGCCTTTCTTCCAGTATGGAGGCATTCTCGAAGCTGCGGCAGTGCTTAGACTTATCCTACGAAAACACGAATATGAACACAATGCGATCCGCCTGGTGGCATAAAAGCCATCCAGACGGCGAGGGCAAGTGTAGTCTTGGGAAGTGTTTCCATAACGGCCCAAACTTGTGAAAATGTCTTTTATGTTCGCTTATAAACCATCGTCAATTGTTATCGCTACCAGCCATTAATATTCGTCAATTCTTTGTCTCACCATAGTGTCGGGATCCCACTGCCTGACTCGAAAGCGACTGATTTGCTCAGTGGCTTTTTCCTTTTACATTCTATTATGAGGCTCGCTCAACTGCTATTAGTCCTTTTCGTCCGTCATCTACGATTGCCTCACATCTGACATCACATACCATACTGTCAAGGTCTCGCTATTGATGCGAAAGGCGTATGTGTACTGATGGCTCTTGGGTTCTAAAGTTCATCAGTCTCTATGAGTTGGCATCTTTTCCTGCCGCCCACTACCACTGTCTCCGAACTGTTGCTTGCATCCTTCTCAAGTCTGTACGAGATGGACACGAATTATGGTTTGCGGTCGCACCCGCATACACACCAACAGGCACGTAGCGAATCATATAAGATGGAATAGTAGGATAGAAAAAGTAGTCGTTAAAACCAATCAAATACCATACTGTTCCATTTGATCGAACTTCCTAGTTTCCCGCTGGGAACATTTATTTCTGTGGCGTTTCTGTGGCTGGAATGTGGATTTGTCCTCTTGTAAGTAGAAGTTGAGAGAGCTGAGTAGCATTGATGTTCAATGTTTTCTGATCAGGCTCGCGTATCAAAGTGAGCCCACGTGCACCCTTCACGTGAGCGTTGATACTATGTTACACAGGATTTCTATATCGGAGGCTGGTAACTGAACGCACGCAAAGCAGTCTTCATTTCCTTCACCACACACTTCGCGTAAACGCCAATGGGCTGTAGTGCTGCATTTTATTGGTGATTCCTCTTGTGATACTTTGTTGGTTTCCTCGTCCCTGAGGCGGATGTAAACCATTGTTAGAAGTACAAAGACCTCTGACGAGTGAACTCATTCATGAAATACCCCTTACACTTACCAGTTAGACGGTACACAAAAATATTAAGGCAAGCTTGCGAATTAGATGTCAATAATATATTATTTTGAGTATCTAATAACGGTCATAAACACACTTCATTGGTCCTCAATTGTCTCGAACGCTCGCTGAAGGTGAGGAACCTGAATTAGATTGGAAACTACATGCTTTAATGATGAGCGCAAACTTTGTAACATTGTTGGCTTACTAACCAACGATAAAAGTTATCAGATAATTTCAGAAGTGTCCGATGATGAAGAGCAATCCCTCATTACTTCTGATGACAGTGCATGCATTGGAGAAGGCCCATCGGAAAACCCAGCGGCTACCGATCAGGAGCTCTCATCGAACCAACGGGATGAGGTTGTGCAATCATACTGAAAGATATAGGGAGTTTCTGGAACCATCTAAGCGCTGTTTACGGACAGTCAAATGAGGATAGTAATAGGGTACTGGGACGAACCTTAATTATGGTCTTCCTTAGGTGTTGCAACTTCGCACTGTTCCTTTCCAAGATTGACCTCTTCTCTAACGAGAGCACTGTTTAAAAATTTCTGAATTTTGCCGAGGTTCTTCCTTTATATCTTTCTAGTTCGGGACTCTTTGTTACAATCTCCCAATCTCCCTGTAGCCTCTTGGTGGAACCTCGGCATTCAGAAACGAAACATGTTGTCCTTTTTTGCCAAAAAAAAGTTGATAGATGGGACTTTTTTGTTTGGATTCGTTTGGATTAGCATTTTGTCTTTTTCGTCTTTTCTGGGAGCCAGGATAGCTCGAGGCTGTTTTGCAAATTATTCGACCAGGCAAAAAACTCGAAAGCCACCTAACAGATCACTTACTTTTTTAAATTAATTTATTATTATGACATCGTTAGAGTTTCATACTTGCTTTTTGTCGCACAATTGAGTGATGCTTTACATCCGAACTATCCTCTAATTAAAATTCATGCTCTTTCACTTTGATTGTTATGAGTCTTGGGGAGTTCCGGATTGCAAAAGGCCCGGAAAATTTTACATGTCCCTCGAGAACCTTTACGTAGCAGCAATATTGTCATATTCACTTGCTGAATTTGAGCGGATTTTACGTTCTGATAGTGGTAAGACTAATTCGTCTAAGTTGTGGACGTTGCTCTGGAACTGTTTTTCCGGTTCTCCATAGAATTTTCCGTGAATATATTGGTGGTGGACCGATGTCAACCTATTCCTGAATTTTGTGTAAGACCTTCACTTGTATCACTGCATAACTATACAAGTCTTCCGACAACTCTCAATTTTGATTGACTTCGATGGTCTGTAAATGTTCGCCTTTTACTAGAACCATCCTAATTCTTCTTCCTTTCAGCAAGCTTCATGGGGAGAAATCTTTCGTTGGCGCCACTACTCGCCCCGTCATAGAAAGCCGTGGGAGCACTTCAAATGTGTTGCAGGCCTTTCCACCACACCTCTCGAAGATCTCACATTCGCCTTCCACTTATCCACTAGATTTTAAGCTTCATTCCTATTCACCTCGATAGTCACCAATAAAATGAACGTCACTTTCTTTGTCAGTGCGAGGGATGGAATTCTTATGTTTCTACTTATGTAATGTATAGAAGCTACACACTGTCTGATGTGCTTTTGCCTACTGCCTCTTATGAAGTTGTTGACTTTTTACCTCTTGGTAATTCTCACTCATTTATAAACCACGAAACAAAGATGTCTTGCTTTTAACAAGTTTACAGTAGTAACAGTAGAAACGAAAATCGAGACAATATTCTTCTCTAGAACAGATCTAAAAGACATTAGTTAGTAACGATTGGTGGCTTGATCCTACTATATATAACGCGCTAAGTGTGTCTGTTGGTTTGTCTGTCTGTGCGTGTGTGTGTGTGTGTGTTTGACCGGAAATTCATAACTCCGGTTCCCGTTGACCTAGAGAGTTCAAATTTGGTAGGAGTACAGGCGGCAGCATGGGAACAGTAATGGTGGGTGCCGGAGCCGGACTCCTCCCACAGGGGGCGGGGTTTGTGCGAAATAAATGTGTGAGCAGAAAGTCATAACTTCTCTCCCCGTTTACCTAAAGCGCTCAAACTTGGTATGAGTACCTAAGATAGAATGGGAACGCTTATAATGGGTGGCAGGATTGAGCTCCGCCCTTAATGGGAGGGGTTTGGGCAAAAATTCATAACTCCTGTCCCTGTGGACCTAAAGCGCTCAAACTTGGCAGGAGTACAGGCGGCAGCATGGGAACACTAATGGTGGGTGCTGGGGCCGGACTCCACCCACAGGGGGAGGGGTTTGTGCGAAAAATCATAGCTGTAGTTCCCGTGGACCTAGAGCGTTCAAATTTGGTAGGAGTACCCAAGATAGGATGGGAACGCTAATGATGGGTAGCGGTATGGAGCTCCGCCCATAGTGGGTGGGGTTTCATCAGAAATTCATAACTCCTGTCCCTGTGGACCTAGAAAGTTCAAATTTGGCATGAGCACAGGCGGCAGGATTGGAACACGTATGGTGGGTAGCATGACCGCACTCCCCCCATGAGGGGCGGGGTTTGTGCGAAAAACCTAAACATGGACCTAGAGCGTTCAAATTTGGTAAGAGTACAGGCGGCATGATGAGAACACTATTGTGGGTGGCGGGGCCAGACTGCACTCACAGGGGGCGGGGTTTGTGCGGAAAATCATAACTGCAGTCCCCGTGGACCTAGAGCGTTCAAATTTGGTAGGAGTACAGGCGGCAGGATGGTAACAATTATGGTGTGTAGCAAAACCGGACTCCGCCTACAAGGGGCGAGGCTCGGGCAGAAATTCATAACTCCTGACTCTGTGGACCTAGAAAGTTCAAATTTGGCATGAGCACAGGCGGCAGGATGGGAACACTTATGCTGGGTGGCAGGAGCGGACTCCGCCTACAGTGGACGGGGTTCGGGTGAAAACTTATAACTAATGACCCCGTGGACTTAGAGCGCTAAAATTTGGTAGGAGTACAGGCGGCAGGATGGGAACATTTATGGTGGGCGGCAGGACCGGACTCCGCCCACAGTGGGTGGGGTTCGAGCGGAAAATCATAACTCCTCCAGGGGACGAGGCTTGCAGAGAAATGTCAAAATGGACCTAGAGCGACCAAACCCCGTTAGGAATACAAGAGGCAGGATATGAACACTGATGATAGGATGCAAGACTAAATTCCATCCCAAAGGGCTGGGTGTGAATAAATACCGTTAGTTTTGACCCAGACCGTCGAAACTTGGAGGCACAGGGGGTTGGCTGGGAAGATTGGTGGTAGCTGACATAGTAGACTCAGCCGCGATGAAGACTCTGAACACCTTTTTTTATGAATAAGCGCCTTTGTGATATTATGCGATGTTCCATTCGAACACAGCGAAGGTGGCTTACAGAAAAAAACGCTCTTAATCCAAAGCTAATATTAAGGTGTAGAGCTTTCAAAGAAAAAGGAGAATCCGAAGTGTTATTTACGTATAGCAAATTCCTCACAAAAGGAGGAGCGCCCGGCATAGCCGGGCGAACCCGTAAGAAGGAGGGAAGCCCGGCGATAGCCGGGCGGCCCGACTGGTTTTAAGATCAATGCATTTAAGCATGAAAAACTTCCTGATACCAATAAAATGAAAGGTCAATGTAGGGAAGGTGGGAACAGTAGCATCATCCGACTGTATTGCGGACTAGCTCGTAATTTTCGAACAATCCTCGACACTCTCCAAATCTATATTTCTTTTTATTCCTCTCTTGTTCCTACGTCGTAACAAATAATGCCATTATCTACATGTGAGGATGTTAAAAAACAGTTGAGGCTGAGAAAAACTGTGAGCAGCAAGTGAGAATACATCAGTAACTTTGAGGTTCTGAGCCTTTAGAAGCCTAAACATCAGGTTATGTCACTCTGGAAAGTTTTACTTCACTGATAGACAAAGCAATGTTAGATCTTGAAGAACCCCTCAGTTCAACGCAGTCCTCATAAGTTTGAGAAGTACTGGAAACTGCGTACTGAAAGACCTCATAAAAAAACTCATGGCTCATGGATATCATATTTGAGTTGCAGAACCTCATGGTTCTGCAACTCAAATATGATATCTGTTATAGTATATTTGGATAACAGTAAAGCTGCAGAAATAACATACACAAATTGTTCAATAAAAGGTGAAAAAGAGATAAGATCCTTTCAGGAAATGATAGCAATAACTTCATAGAAAGATTGCATTAGTACTCATTGCCGCGCTTTTTACGAAAATTGGAGCACGAGTTCCGGGCAAATGCGAAATTTCATCCTAATTCAGTTGTATAGCTTTTTAAGCAGGTTTGTGGCTATCTATTTCTTACTGTCGAAAGATAAGCATCCACTGGAAGAAGAAAAATCAGATCCTAAATCCCACTTCTTCAATAAGCAATATTCTATAAAAGGATTTTTGCTCGTGATCATTCAATGCATGCCTGCCACTCGAATATCGAGAAAAATTTGTCGTTTTCCACAACATCAAACAACCTTTGACAGAAAAACTTGCCTTACATTAGTGCTGGCACGTCAAAGGGACCGTGGCCTGACGCTGCTGGAAATCCACTGCAGTAGGCTACAAACTAGCCATAGTCTCTAAAGCTATTAAAATTCACTTGCCTTTTCCGAGAAGACATAAAATATAAGACACTAGTGTAATTTAACAAAAAAAANAAAAAAAATATGCAAATATTTATTGTTCAAATTCATGGTATTCACGGAATGAACAGCAAAAATAGTGATTTTCCATCAGTCAAATAATTAAATATTAAAAGGTCTAAACGTTTTTCACAAAACCTCTTAGAATGCTTTCGTCAGAGAACAGGATAAATTTTTCATATCGTTTGCTGCAGAGGGTCAGAATTGGTAGGAGGCTGGCGACGCAACACCTTGAAATAAAGCATCATTCGCTCGAGCAAACCTAATTATGAAGTGGACAAGGAGAACAAACCGAAAGGAAAGCCCATTTGGAGAGATAGTTGGTGAACTGGTTAGTGTCCGCCCAACGACAGCGCAAATATCCATAGAGATTTGCAGATGTCATCGAGAGACCCAATAATGCAACAATCATCCATTCCCACTATAATGAAAGCTTCAGTCACAAAAATTATACAGTTGAATATATTTGTACCAAAAACGGCAACTAGAGAGGAAGAAAGAGCAAGTTTGCACAGAACCGTAGGATATGCCCAGGCAATCCCCTCCTCATCACTAGGTTCTTGTCTAAACTGAAAAGTCAGGCCCAAAGCAACCTGCAAGTTGTCGTTGTAAAAGAATTTGAACATTATCAGCCAAGGTCTGTGCTTGTATTACTACGTGGCCTGGAGTGCGACCATGAAGGCGCATTGAAGCTACCGTACCAAGATTCCAAACACGTAGTAGTTGACATTTACAGTAGCACTCAAAAGTCTCCGGCCAAACGCTCTTACGCTTTTTTAAACTTTTTTCTTCAGTGGTAGATGAATGAAGTGCGTCACGACTCTCTTTATACTGGAGGAATGGCATCAATGCCTGTTCGGTTGATGGAGAGTAATTGTGACTAAGAAGGGCCACTATCGTGATCTTTGTTTTAATTTTGTTGCTATATTTTTTCTGTGTTGAAAAAACCGGCTGAGTTTTCCCAAAACTTTTCGCACACCCTGATAACATTATTCCATATTGGATGCCACTTCATGAAATTGCTGATTAGAAGTCCCATGCGCAAACTTCACCCATGAGAGCGAGGCCTTATCTTTTCATGACACAGCTCGGCCATAAATGTCACTTCCGTTCAGCTGATTTTTAGCAAGTTGCCTTAGTATATTGTCGAGAAAATATTATGGCCTCTGAGACGTATTTGCACATTGCACATATCCCTTTCATGAGTGAACTTAAGGAAATGCACGTTCTCAGCAGTACATGTTGCCATTTTACAACACTACCACATGCAACCATTTCTCTCAGGTGCTATAAAAATGTCTGCTCAACGTCTACTGAGCCATATCTTCAGTCAAATTAAAGAACTAGTATCAACTACGACCAATTATAGTAGTATCTGACGATTTGGAATTAATTATCAAGGTGATGAAGGCAACCCATTACATTAAAAAATCTTTCGCCACATATGAGAAGTAATGAGTGGAAACTGAAGCTCTATAACCAGCAATATTTGATCAATTCCCAAATGACCACAGGGAAACTGATTCAACATTCCTGATCGCTCACAGAATAAGGTTGAGCAGCACTCACTGAACTACACTTGCAGCTTGCCTGAGGACGAACGGCATCTTTACTAAGAGCCAACCGAAAGTTTTGCTTAAATGAATCACCCTACAAACCTTGAATGTGAAGAACGCCATGGCAACAAAGAAAAACCAAAGTAGTGGTGCTAATACAAGTGCAAACCAGAAGGCACGTCGATCCATTGGGGGGAAACGTGATTGATCCTGAAGAAGATAATAGCCTTTCAAAAACGACACTCAGTAAGTCAAAGAGCAACAGAAACTATCAAATGTGCTTTTTATAGGGAATTATATCAACCTTACCTTAGCGCTCTCGAATTTCCAGTGATTTTTACCGTTGTCGTCTACAAAGTTCCACCACCTCAAACCAACCAGCAATCTTCCAGTGATGTTCTTCACTGTCCAAAAGTCCATGGACAATAACGTCAGCTGAAATTAAGCTCTACATTCAGGAAAATGAGCGAAATACAACGCACAATGCGTCAACCTACAATTATAAGAAATTGAACGATGAATGACGAAGACAGCAAGTTTGCGAGAAAGTAGTAAACTAACGCTGCTCCTTTGAAAGCCACATGAGCGAGTACTATTGAAGGTTTGCTGTTAAAATAGAAGAACTAGTAACTTCATCGAATGGTACACATACAACTTCCTTACTTGAACATGCGAAGACTGAAACCATTTTGAGACTCCTGCGACACTCCACCTATATTCAAAGCGGCATCGAATCCTGATGCCATCTGGAAAATTTGTTTGATAAAGAAAATAATAGAACTGCGATTGATAAGCTATTGCGTCGACAAATCATTCAAACTAGAAAGTGGCTACTTTGTGCATGTTTAATGAGAGTTCGGCAATTTCCGTGCATTCAATAAAACGATACAAAGGCATTAAAGTTACAAAATGTAAGGACACAAAACAATGAATAAATGGTGCGTGACAAAAACCCTGCAGCATCATCTCTTGAGGAAAAAATGAGAAATCTATGAATACAGCATAAGTATTATTTAAAACTATAGGCTCTGAGAGATAATAGTGTATAGTTGAATGCCTTAAAGCGTACGTTACCAGAGAATATGTGGCACCGAGCACTGAGATAGAGTGAATGTTCCGGATAATCTGTTGTACAAGGAAGAAAATAAAAAGCCCTGGTCAAATCATACTTCACATTTTGAGCGGATTAGGTCGGAAGAGATGGAATGAAAGAACATCTGACACAAGTTACTTAATTTTTGAACACAACGTCATTTACATGATCATTTGGAAAGTCCCAAAGCTATTCCTCGCGGAGGAATATTCCGACTTAGCACCACTGGTCATCACCATTTTGTTCTGTGGCTCACAAACGACTGCCCTAAAAAATTTGTTTGTACCTACAAGTATCCATCTCTGTTCAATCGAGAAAAAATTCAGCTCTGAAAAATAAGCCAGGCTTTCACAAATTTGTCAACAACAGAATTAGGCGAAAAGAAGATATAGGATTAATAAGAAGCAGTGATGGGATCATTCTCACAACAGACTTTGCTAGAGCTGATTTTCTTGCGGACGTATTTGAAGCCGTATATCAGAATTGAGAGGATGGTGATTTACCATCTCGTATAAGTATGAGTTTTCCAAAAATGGTATCCCCTTCGAGTTCAACAGGTTGTGCTCTACGTGGTTTTCTTCTTTTAATAAACTCTTTAATTTCATATTCATAAAAGATTGAGGCATGCATTTGTTAACCCGTTCAAATAAAAGTCTTCTTCTTACGATTCTTGTAACTACACGTCAATTAGTATCAAATCTCTTTAATGAAGAGTTATAGAGAAAACTGTTAAAAAGGGAATTCAATTACATCTGAGAAAACGTTCTGTTTTGCCGAATTTCCAACGTGAGTTTAGAAAAGGGGTAGATCCACAGGAACTCAAATGTTCGAATCACACAGTGATTGGATGATTAACACAACTATGGGTGATCAACACATCACTGATGTTGTTTATATTAATTTCCAAATTCTTTTGACAAGCTCTCCATGATCTGCTGCTCTCCAAATTAGAGCATGTTGAAATTGCTTTCAAAATAACCGAATGAATTAAAGCCAATCTATCTCAAGCCGCGTTCCAGGTTATTGTTGATGTTGGGACGTCTAGTACTAGAAAAAGACGTCTAGAGTCCCTCAAGGGGAAGGGCTATCTCCTCTATTGCTCATTATTAATAAATGAGATTTGCCTGGAGTTGTTGTTGGTGACAGAATCAGATGTCAAATTTGTGCAGACGATATGAATGTATTTAACATGCCCGATTCCTTGCACGCAACTACTGATGCAATGCTTCATTGGCCTTCTTGTGAAGGACTTCCTCTTTCGGCTTCGATCATAAATCATTCGTCTCGGTCGTAGCACAAAGCGCTCACGACTCAGGTTTACTAAATCTAATCTAAATGATAAGGATCTTTCTTTCGACGAGTGCAGCCAATTCAGTGCCGAGGGCGGAGGTGGTGTAAAGGAAGGTGGGGCGATATCACACCACATGGTCACAGGCTCGAATCCCGGATAAATATCCGCCCAGGCCGACTGAACCTTCCATCCCTTCGGTCAGCTAATTGGCACCAGACTCGTCTAGACTAGATAGTGTACAAATAATAGTGGACATCGGCTGGGCACCGCAAGCCATTGTATACGTAACATACGCATTCAATAAGCCACTACGATTTTGAATGGAAGTCGAATGCGTGGACGCATCCCTCAGACAGGATTGATAAACGCCCCGCGACTCTATCTTTTGATGCCGAGGTCAATTCTTCTCAATTGTTCAAGTATTTTTCTATTGATCTACCTCTCCGATTGAAGCCTATACGTCATTTTTGAGACCTAAGTCAGAATGTGATACATGTGCTTTACCAGCACAGAAAAGCCCCGGTAAACAGTAGAAAGAGCCCAGCATAGTTTCACCGGAAAAATCCCGATTCGTTGCCTCGGTTTCACATATACTAGCATCCCTGTGGTGTTATTAGGAATAAGATACTGAAGCTTGGATCCCTCAGCCTCAGAGGAGAGCACATCTTTTTATGATTCGAAATATACTTTATGGGCAAGTTAATCTCAATAGGCATATTATTTTTGAACTAATTTCGCCTTCTCTAGAGGCCAAAGGCTCAAGCTTGTACTTCAGCAGCAAAGTCAGTTTTACGGCGTGGCCTCTTCATCAAACAAAAACAAAGATCAGTGTTAACAAATTGATTATTTTCAAAACGTGAAAGTGATTGGTTCCGCCTCTGTCACTGTCACGAATCACTTCATTGCTCTCTAACCTCCGAGGCTAGTTATCAGTGAGTGGGGGTTAGTGAGCAACAAGCAAATCAATAGAAAGGTGAATAAATTAATAATAAAATTAGTAGGGTTGCCGATAGAATGGAAGGGTAGAAAAGCGGTGCTAAAGCTACAAACTCGAAGTGATTTCTGTTGGGATTCAAACTATATAGGTTTTCGGATGTTAACATTGAACGCAAAAATCAAAATTTTGTATACTGTGCTTTAGGCGATATCTGGAGCTTATATATAATCCGAGGGTCCAAATAAGCTACGATTTTTCACAGTCAGTGATCGTTCACAAAGAGTTTAGTATGTATACTTCCGAAACAATGCATAGCTCCTCCCTGATCATGGGAAATTTCACTTAGAAATGCAAGAAAACCTATGCTCTCTGTAAAACACGGCACGTACCGGATTTTAAACGATTATTTTTATTTTTTTCTTTCTTTCTTTTTTATGACTCAAAGTACTAATTTCCAAGTTACGGGGAAGTAATTCTTGTGAAGAATAGGCACAACAACTTCTGAAAATAGAAATCGCCTCATTTTGGCCATTCTTCATTTTGAAAAACCTCTGCCATGGGCCAAATTCAAATGGCAGAGGTTCAGCCATTTTGGAGAAAACTGGTATCGAAGTGATCAGAACGAACTGAGAAATGCCATGGTCTTATTTTCACCTATTACCGGAAAATATTAGCTACTCCACGTTCCACAGACTACTTTTGATAGAAGAAAATGTCCTCTGGTTGTAATTTTAGCAGGCGTCACTGCTAATAACGTACCCTCAGGAACTTTGATGGATGAGGGACTTTAAAATTGAGCTTACCAAAATTTTAGACAAACCATGTTATAGAGCTCGAGGGGTTGAGTTAAACCATATAACACACTATATTAAGAAACTTTAAATTAACCCAGTTACAGAGAATAACGTAAAAAACGCGAAAACGCGTTTTTTCGTGTTTTTTTTTNTTTTTTTTTGAACATTTAGGGTGGGTATTGTACAAGTCAGTGCTTTTACCCTCCCAAGTCTGGTACCAATTCACCGACTCCATAGGGATGGAATGCTTGGTTAGCCTAGGCGGATACCGATACGGGATTCAACCCTGACCATGCGTGTGAGCTAATGCGCCACTTGCCACTACACCACCTTCACTCCGAGTCTTTATTATTTATTCTAGTCATTTCCAAAAAAGAGGAATTGACCAGAATGGAGACTATAATAAATGAAGTTAAAATAGAAAGAGTGTGGGAGAAAGGCGAGATGAAAGTTCAGGAATGAAAGACGCCAGGAATGTTAAGAGAGGAAAAAGGGGGTACTGTTATAAAAAATATAAAAACGAAAAGTTAGAGTATGATACATCGCAAAGGAACAATCCAACAACTAAATTTAGGCACTTCAGTTGAAACCATGAAAATGAAAACTACATGATAGTCACATACGCAGTCAAAAAAACGTACCAGAAGCGTATACCATGCGTAAGACCATCTGTAACCAACAATATCAAATATGAGTGACTAAATCGAACGTTATTTAAATGTAATGAGGTGCATTGATAAAAAAATAATAGTTAAAATAAAGTAACTAAGGNAGGTAAAACAGGCAATAAGAAGTACTAATTAGCGCTATTAAGGATGACCCCAACTACATTAGAAACATTATTGTAATTGTTAGTGAGACTGATCTTGTATCCGTTGAATTTGTTATTATAGATACATCTAACTATAATAGAGATAATATTGATTCTATCATATCCATGTAATGTATCTCTATCATTTCTTTTAGTCTAAGAATGAAAGAGTCGGGTTGGTGCATGTATCAGAATTTCTAAGAGTTACAGTACAAGTTATCGCCGACTTAATTTTGTTGATATATTATTACAACGACAAATCCTGCCTAGTGTTTCGAATCAGCCATAAAAATCAAATTAGGAGAAAAGTACAAGTATCGAATAACTTCAGAGCTACCGAAAACTCGAGCGGTCGTTTTGTAATTGATCGAGCAGGATTCGCAGAAACTCAACTTATCCATCAATGAACTGTTTAGGGCGCCTTCAGGAGATCAACATATTCGAGATTATTAAATACGTGGGCACCCCGTTCCTCCATAAGACGTCTGAAAAAGCCAATCAGGTCTGAAAGCATATTTCAAGGTATTTCTAATAAGAGTTCAACGTACATCATCTCTTCACAAGCTTTACGAGTCATGCTTCCCGCAGTGTAATCTATGTGAAGATGTCGTGACCAACCACACTGAGATGATGCCATCACGTGAGTCTAGAATGTTGCTAACAAAAAAGCTGAATACCCCATATCGGGAAGTTGAAACGGGACTGTTGCACCCACGAGCGATTTCAACACTATGTACGAAAACAACAAGTGGTTCCTGTTGCAGGTATGAAAAAAATAAATATAATACTAAATGTAATACCTCTTCGAAAAACTGCTTCGTCTTGGAATATGCCATTGCTAAGCGCCATAAGGCGGGATCCTTTCTTCGCGAAGCCTCTCTGCGTGTAATTTCAGCAACCACATTTGTGTGCAGTGGAACACCCGCTTCCTGAATGAGACCACTTCATTGACGACTACTTTAAAAGGGGAAGCGTAAGATAGGAGCTGCTAGAATGAACCCGGTGAATGGCTAAGATGAAGAAAAATGGATACGCAGAGTGAAGGGTGAATAGATCAGAAGGCGGGAACCAGCTGAGAAGGTTTTCCAATGACAGAGATTGACGATGGTTGACAGTAGTTGTCACAGGGCGAACAAGCTGTGAAAGGAAACAGCTCATCCGCACATCACGCAGTTCCGTTAATACTCCTGCGACTTCGACAGGCAAAGGCTTCTAGCTTGAAGCGAAAGGTTTCTTTATACCTGGACCAGACCATCGCAAACTGCATTGTCTACCTTTGACATGGGAGTCGGCTAACTTCCCCGCTCAAACTTGAGAATTCGACGGAAGCATGTTCTTGTTAAGGTTTTATTCGAGCCATCTTCTTGCTATCTACCGTTGGGGCTCCGAAACAGGAGAACCTCGACTGTGTTCTACGCAGGGCACACACTCCACGACCGTCTGCCATGGATACAACTGTCCTTTCGTCTCTCCTGTTCACTATCTTATTCTGGCTACCCTCATAACGGCGTGACGAAAACTTCTGGGCATATCCCTTCGATGACATGTCCAGGACAATCAGTCAACCATTTGTCTATGCAGCAGACTCTGCTTGGACCACACGAAGCATTTGAACTTTTCTACTAAAATGTGATGCTCTGACTGGCGCAGCCAGCCCCTGACTTGAACTCATTGAACCCTTGTGGCAGGAACTCAATGAAAGGAAAGCCACAAGTACTGCCCAGAGGTTTGCTCAATTGGAATAAGAATGGGAGAAAATTGATCAGTGTTTGATTGATACATTGATTGAATCAAGGGTTCAATGAGTTCAAGTCACGGGCTGGTTGCGCCAGTCAGAGCATCAAATTTTCCGATGATTCACCCACTCGCGCATACTTCCAGATTTTTTTTTTGCGGTCGTTATCATCGGTGGAAGATGAATCGTCTCCTTTGAACACGAAGGGCATACATTTTTTCAAGGGTTCTACGTACATCAGGTAGTTCATGCTCGAAAAACATCCCCCAACTAATACTAAACCGCCACCATACTTGATAACGGCATTTAGTTCTTCGAGTCGAACCTTGTATTGTTCTTGTGTGGTCCTCTTACGAACAAATTCCATGTGTACCAGACAAAAAAAACCTTGACTCGCCGCTCCAACTGACTTCGCGCCATTGGTCGAGAGCTCAGTGGAGGTGCGTGCGCGCCCAGTGAAGTCGAGCTCGTCTGTTTTCCGAATACATTAACGGCTTTTTCACGGGTCTTCTTTCATATAATCCAGCACTTCACAGGGGTCTATTCAAAGTACCTAGATATGGTAGCGGCGTCAGCTTCGTCGATATTTTGGCCATTGTACCGGAATGGTGCCTGGGATATCCACAGAACCCACGAATGATCTCCCTGTTGTCCTCAGGAGTGGTAATTCGTAGTATTCCCAAGCTGACTCGTTTGAATGGGCTTCAGCGAAACTTTATTCTACCAATAATCGTTGTAATCATGGATCTCGACACACGAACTGCTTTGGAAGTTGAGCTTCAATCCACGCATAACGCTTGTGACAATGGCGGAAATCTGTTTTACGGTCGGAGAACGAGACCCATCAGTTCGTCCCATTACAAAAGGAAGTGATCCACTTTCAAGACATAATTCACCAAGCAGTTTTGGATTCGAAAACAGGAAAACCCACCTTTAAAAAAAGCCACTTTTGTATATTTTTCGAAAAATCGAAAAATGAAGTCGGGTTGACAAGTAGTAAGCTACCGCCTATATGCATCGCAACAGACTCGGTGATGTTTGAGAAAGGGGCTATCAAAGACATTGTGTTTGAGACGGGTTATGGCAAACATGTTCATGGTGACTTCTTTTTAACACATTCACGCCGACAGCAGCCTATATGGGCTGCAAATAGCAAGTGCTATTTGGACGGTGACAGCCCATATGGGTTGCCAGAACAAAATTGCCTGTGATTTCGTTATATCGTAATCTTTGGGAATATTCTCGAAACAATGAAATAGTCAAGGGATGGCATACACCCAATCCCCGTCGGCAGGGAAAACGTTAGAAGGTAACAACTTTATCTAAACAATTAACAACCGGAGTTTTTTTCGTCTTTTCTTCATGAATCAGTTACGATGGAGTACTCTAAGAGCTAAAACACCGTTGAACTCAGCTCGTGGAGCTCTATAAGCTGATACCCTACAGGTTGAAAGTTCTTCGTTTTGGGTTGCGCCGTGCACTTGAGTTCCATTTGAATTAATTGCATGTACACGTGGTGCACGCTTTAGTGCTTGCAGTGGTTCCTCAGGACGAAGTATTGAGAATTTGCTTCGGGTTGCGCCACGTAAACTCGACTTTACCCAGCACAATGAGAAGATTATTCATCGATTTTATTCAGTCTCCATCGTTCATTTTTAATTTGGACGCTGTAGATGACTGCATGTACAGTCTCTGCACTCAGCATTCCTCCTCACAGGTTCCATCGAGAATATGACAGTTTTACGGCAAAATAATTAAGTCGATTTTTTTAAACATTTTCCAAACTTTGAAGGGATTTTCCTCCAAGATCTGAGGAGATGGCGTTGAGTTACTGTATTGTCATACACAACTCTTTGTTCTCTGCGAGACTGCTGTGGTACACCTTATCATAGATCGAAATTTCTCTCTTGGCATGGCGCCAAACTTCGAACTTCGTCAGGCTTAAATCATAAAATTATGTTTTCTCCCTTTTCTTGGCTTTTTTGCAGCTGAGTTGCACATGGTTGAATCCCCGTGAACTGCTGTCGAATAATATATGGGTAAGCCCGTGATGAAATCCTCCCTTCATAACCATTTCCTGCCTATGCCTTTCTGACTGTGGCAAGCCATATGGGCTGCCACGTCCAGTGCACGGAATGGCGCCCGTCCGTAGGGGACGCGCTCGTCTTAATGGTAAGAAAACATCATTGGAAAGCAGGATAAGATAAATGGAAAATTACCAGCAACCTCTCCGCCTTACGCTTTTCCATGTAAAGATAAGAAAGTGAGTGATACATATCCAATGTTGGATCTAAAACATCAGTCATGACGGAAAGCACAAAAAATGGAAGAAAATAGATGAACTCACTGCTCTTGGACTGGGCGTTTGACAGAAACCGGCGAACTTTCCACATCTGTAGCTCGCCCGAGGATGATATATCGATGAACCTGAAAAATTGTAGTCTGTTTGTCCACGATCCCTTCTCTGGAGCTCTTTCAGCCAATAGAATCGCCGTTCCAGGACTTCTCATGTCATGCATTTGTTGATTTTAGCGTTCTCATTTCCTAATCCTATCTTAGGCACAGTTGATTATCCCATTTCATAAAGTTAACTATCATATGCCTGATATTGCTAAGTCAAGATATTCAACAGTCTAATTTGTGAAACCTCAGTAACAGCTTATTTTGGATGCGATTGTCTGCACGAATTGATCATTGCCTAACCGTCTTTGAAACCGTTTTTCGTCCTGCTGAAGGAGACATCACCAGAGTGGTTAGACTGGCATAGTTCAAAGCGATTCCAGAGCAGATAGTAACTAGATGATCAGATGCACAATTGCACAACTATGGTCGGTTCTGCGAAAGACTTCTTTGCAACGGCGACCACTCGAACCAATTCGAAAAAGAAAAAACCCTAGCGCTCGATAATAATCGACTCACCTCCGAATAATTGAACTGTCATAAGGGCAAATTCTTAGTCCTTTTTCCATGATTTCGAACAATTTGGTTTTATATGAATGGAAGCTGTGCTGTAAAATCAGGATTCGAACATGGTCTTTAACCAGCATCGACAAAGAGAACAAACGATCAGAAACCTTGATAAATGAATGAAATAATAGATAAATATATAAACAATTAGGGTGTCACGAAAATTATGAGAAAATTGTGCGTCTCAACTGTGAAAGCTTTTTGCTCTCGAACCCGCATGAGCAGGACTATAAATCTGATAGCAAGAAAAGGGTTTGTTAATAGGTCAATACTACGGTATATCGACATTTGACGTCGTCGTTCGAAGTAAGTAATCATCGACCGAACAATGTGCCATCGATAAGAATTCCAGAGCCTTCTGCTTCAATATTACGGAACTGATCGCTTTTACACTCAGGCTTGGAATGAGACATGGTGGCTGGTTGGCAGCAGTGACCCTCTCTTGTCACCTACCATGAATGTCACGATCGCTTCCTCTGAGAAGAGATTTGCCTAGACGGATTTCGTCGAAGCGAACGTCCATTGTCCTCAGATACCGACACTGTTCTGTCCTGCCGTCAAAGCAATCCTCATTGAAGCGTCAAGAAATGGAAAAGACGACCTCCACTACCAAATCCGTCATCCATACGTTCTACGCAAAAGTCCATTTCGAAGCAGGACTCTTTGCAAATATCACACACTCCCTGACTGAGCAGAAGCGTCAGTGTGTGTCAGATGCTCCTCAACTGTGACCGGACGACGACATCATCGACATCATTATTGTTCAGGATAGAAAGTAGATGTCATATGAAAATCCACACAGGAAATCGATACCTACCAAAGAACGTAAGGCCATAGCTCGCAACAGAGCGAAGCGCCATGCTAAGAAGAACATGAGCTCATCCTTCCTCTGCTCAACCTGGTATTTCTATGAAATCCTACCAGAGTATATTGCGGTAAGCGCAGGAGTCCTCTGTTGACAACTGAGAGGGACGGTGTTTCGACCTCCCCCCCCCCATTTCACACCGATTACAAGGAAACTTGATTGCGATCAATAATGCTCACTCCACGCGAAGACGACGATGCAGGAGCTGGAAGGGCCTGACTAGTCTACTCCCCATCATATTCATCTGACCTAATTCAGATGACTGCTACACTTTCAGAAGCCCACAGGCCTGTCCTAAATGAAAAACATTCAATATTCGTCACGAGGTCAAGGTAGGCAGTAGACGAATGAATTGCGTACCGCCTGTCTCCTTTTTATCTTTTTGGAGGAATGACATCAGTACCCTATCCGTCCGGTTAATGGAGGGACTCTCTGGCTACGAATGGTCTATCTTGATCACGGATCTAACTTCACTGTTGTAATAGGTTGATGCATAATTATTGCGGATTTTATCGCGGCATCTTTTCTCTTGACACAAGTTCAATATCGAATTCGGGATTTTTATAGAAATGGACTTCTCGTTTTCCTTACCAGGAATATGTCTAAAAAGTTATATTCATATCCGCCACATATGCTCTCTTACTTAGAGCAAGATTGGAAGGTGGCACAGTCACTAAGCGATCTCAACCAACTCATCGGCGATCGAACAGGCAGCCAAAGCCACTCAAAGAATATGATCTGCTCCTACATCCACCCCATTCACCAACAGGAACTCCTATGGATTATCAGGTCAAACGTCCGTTGAATAATTGAGTAGCGAAGGGAACTTATGTTGAAATGGATGACGTGATGACCGATGTTAAGGTGTGGATCGCCTCCAAAATCGAAACCTCTGCGCCTGTAAAATGCAGCTGCCTAGCAAATGGGAAGCAGTTCTCGACTGAGATAATGGATATGTTCGGGAACAATAATTTGAACATTTTTCTGTTCATGTTTTTATCGTTTCTCTAAATAAAATATGCCGAAAAAAACCCGGCAGTAATTACGCATCAACCCAATAGTTATTTTGTGTCCTAAACCGACAGATCTTTCTCAAAAATTTTCGGACATCCTAAGTGCGTCAAGACAAAGAATGCATGACGGTGACAAAAATTTTTGATCTGAGCTCTACCCTTCGAGGTACTGGCTGTGGTGGGTGGCTATGAGCTTATGCAAAAACTCCGAAAACGCTCAGCTTACCGCGGATGGGTCCACTTCGTCTGAATCGCTGACCTATTTCTAAGCTCTAACCATTTTGCCTCTGCACTTTTGAAAACTAAGTTATCTAGTTAGGAACTTTTCTCACTGCACCGCAAATTCCCCCCTCTCCCTCCTTTCCCGACCTCCCCTGCGAGATCTCGAATGTTCTCTGTTGATTCTGGTCGAAGTCGCACCCATCCCGAAGTAGACCCGGTTTCTTCAGTTAATACCTAATACCGAATTCCGGGACAGATATTAAGGCAAAAACAATTTTTTTTCATTTTATGCTGTAAATGATGTTGATTATACAGGTGGTTGATTATACTAATGAAAATGACTTCATATATATAACAATGATGGACCGTTTAGGACGTCTTTTACAGAGTGGTAAATTTTTCATCTTGGCCTCCCCAGTGTAAGCCCTATCCACTCTGGGGTTGGACCAAATACCTTTAAAATTTTTACCCGCCTTTCTGAAAAATCCTAGAACGTTTCTGGTACAGACATGAATTTTTGAGTCCACACAGAACACTGCAAACTCCGCCCACATCAAGGATTGGACCAAACCCCTCTATACCCTTGAGCCATTTTTTCCAGCATTTTAAAACGCTTTTGAGAGAGTTTTGAACTTTCGACTCTAGCTCGCCAGCTCAGCGTAGGTTTCGCCTCCTTCAGGGATTTGAACACATTCTTCTACTACCCAACACTTTTACCCCGCGTCCTAGAGCGTATCTGAACAGGGTTACGAGGTTTTGATCTTAGCGTCGTCCACAGTCCAAGGTTCCCCTGTTTCGAGGATCCGACCATATCCCTTCTATGGTCTCTTTTCTCTTTTTTTCGCGTTCTAGGACTTTTTCAAGCAGATTGCCTGAAAAGGATTTTCTATTTTTTTGCCTCTAGACTGACCCAACCTCTCCAGGTGCACCTTCAGGTAATATCGAATTTCGTGAAGGACAAACAATAGACAAACAAACAAACAAACAAACAAACAAACAAACAAACATGAGCGCGCTGTATCTAGCTAGAATGAGTGTGGAACATACCCAATTATATTCAAGGACGTCGATATAGGCACGCACTATAGCGTTTCTGTCATCTGATGATTGACAATGTTCAATGTATTTGAAGAGATGGTCACAATCGTCGAGCCATTGACCCGAATTTTTCGAAGCTGAAACAAAGCTAATGGGGCATTACTGTCATCTAATGTGAGCGATTTAACAAAAACAAACAACAAAGCAAAGCCCCAATCCTTCACATTTTTATTTCCAATATTCATGTTAGAACAGCCTTATCAACATCTGTTTCAAAAAGAAAACGCTCCTGCGATTCTTCCTACGCACGGACCTGCCACTCCTGTTTCTTGAGAGTGGAGTTGACGAAAGAAAAAAAAAAGAATTGGTAAAAAGAAACTGACGCGAGAGCTTTTCGAAGTTAGATCTTCCACTACACTTCAACCAGTTTCAACCTTCAATCATAACGAAAATTCATCACAAAATGTTCTAACTTTTCTAAGGAAAGCAAGAAATCCAGGTGAAATCCTTTTGGGACTCGTTCACGCCTGACGCTGTGCTGGGCACTCTCATCCTATTTGCATCAGGAATGGCATGGGTGGAGGACGCACTGCTGTGAAACTAACATATTACAATTCAAGAGTTTTTCTGCAGCATGTGTTTCATCTAACCCCAATTGAGGGTGAAAATCGAAAGGTCATTATATACTACACAAACGATTAATATTAGGTTGAGTAAAAAGTTTTGATCGGCGTTCGTCCCTTTTTCGTAGGACCGCTCGGAAGGACTTTGTAACGGATTATGGTAGACCGATCCCTAACCTGTATTTTTAAAAGGAAATATAAGCATCCCCTTGGAAGTGCTTCGCAAAAATGACTTCAACCTTAAACTGGCGTCCGAAGCTGTCTGAGAGCTATTGTCTACCATGAATTACTGTAAGGGCATAATCCACCGACGGCTGTCGCAAATATCTATGGTGCATCCAGAAGAGTCATCGTATCTCAGCCCACGGGTGCCTCATCACGAAGCACCTCCAAGACTAAAAGAGAGGTAGACTATGTCCGAGGAAGGTTTTACTGTGTCGTCGGTGGACGTTCTCAGGGAATGCTCTACATTGGATAACTTACTGAGGGCTCCTTCTTACCGCCGAGATTTACGCTTTTCAGCTACAGAGTTTGGTCGACGTTGTTCGAAGGAAGCGTCCGCAGCGTGAAAATGTTTGCCTTTTTCACGACAGCGCTCAACCGCATGTTGCGAAATTATTTAGTCAGTAAATTGCCGAACTTAGATGGGCAGTGCTAACCCATTCTACTTATTCGCGAGGTCTCGCTCCGTCTGACTAC